AATAAGTGAAATTTAGCCTGAAATAAAATACTTTACAAGTCGATCAATCCGCTTTTAACTGAGATATACCCCAGCTAAAGCAACCGCTTATACAAACCCCCAGACCAAAAATTATTCAGTTGATCTGTCTCGATTAGAGCTTGAAGTGTATCAAGGATCTCTCGTGGACTTCAGATAGTTCATGATAAAGAATGATTGCCACCACGTCCATCCTCTCCACTTTCTTCATGCAAGCTAACGATTTGCACATCTTCAAGCTTCACAGGATCCCTATCGACCAAGTAAATGAACTCTCAACCTCATCGAAACGGGGAGGCAACGATTTAGGAGATGGTAGGAGCCCATCGGTTGCTTCCCTGTGTGTTTTAGGATGATCGCCTGAGTGGTGAAACTTACCATTCGAACTCATGATTCATCCACAATCGCCTAGCATCTTTTCGCTTTTGCTGACACCTCAGTTGGATTTTTAATGTTGCAAATCAGGGCTAGATCCTCAGCCAGGTTTCTCAAAGCTGGGTCCATATGGATCAAGAGATAATATAAGGCAAAAGATCTTCAAAAAAAATTGAAATTCAATAAATAAGACCGAGGCTCCTCATACCCAAGAACCGATCAAATGCAGATGCAATAATCTACACAAATCCCTCGCCGTGAGATGGGAGAGCACAAGCAACCTCTTGCATGACCCATTCAGTTAGTGGGTCTTATGTTGCATCAGAGGGTTGAATTGTTGCATCGATGGCCAGGTTAGTCGGCTGAACGTTCCTTTGCTTATTGTCAACTAATGAATCAAATGACCCTAATTTATCCAACAGTGATAATGCAATCACTTTTATCTTCTTAGTAGTGATTTTTTGTTCCTTTTACTTTTTGAGCAATTCTGACAATCAGATTACCGAATGTAAAGTGAATCAGATTTTTGTTGGGGATATCTCCCAAGGAGTTCAATACATTCTCTCTCACAATACTCAAAAGCTAACCAATTCAAAAGTGAGGAGTAGTTAAGCAAATAAGAAATGAGGAGTCTCATCACATTTATAAGAATCAAATATGCAAAAATTAAAGGAGTTTAATTATTGAATAATTAATTAATAATAAATATAATATACTATTGTAATACAATTCTCTTATTTTATCGCAATATCAAGATTTTTGTTGAGAATACAGTTGAGAAGTTTGATATATTTTCCATCACAACCGACAAGCTGACCAGTTCTAACGAGAGGAGTTACTGAGCATATAAGGAATGAGGAGTTCCATCATACCTCGTTTATAAAAAATTAAAGGTGCGGAAATCAAAGGAGTTCAATCATTGAATCATTAACAAAAGATCATGAGACCTACTTATCCGATCGAGTGAAACTGTCCAAGCCAAGCTAGCAAGACCAAAGCCAACCGAATCATGAGAAAAGATTAAAGATGGCTTGAGGATACAAGAACGAGTCACTCAGCCAAAAACAAGATAAAAAGGTATTTAAGCCAACTATCATAGGAGAGCCGATCCAAGGAAGATTTGATTCTCTTATATCTCCACCCATTCTAAGGATGTCCAATGACTCCACATCATGGGCTGAGGATCAACAGTTGAGCCATATCAACTGACCGACCCATATCAACCAAGCTCAGCTGACCAAGGAGAAGATTCGGTTCCCTAGACTTTCCAACCATCCCAAGGATGCCCAAAGGCTCCTCATCATGGGTCAATGATCAACATTTAGGTCATATAAACCAGCCGACCCATATTAACCAAGTTTAGCTGATCTTGCTGACCCGATGCCGACTAAGGGCCCGTTTGGGACAGCTTATAACTGCGGGCGGCGTTTTAAAAACGTCTTCATGCCGTTTGTTTCACACTTTTCATCGGCTTATTAAAAAACGGCGTTTTCTATTTGTGAATGACGTGGCCCGCGGGATCATCCCTGTTGTCCGCGTTTCGTTCGCATAATATTACTTTGGTGCCCTCGTTCACATCTCCCTTCCCCTCGTTCGCATCCTCTGCGTAGCCGCTCCTCCCTCTTCTTCAGTTATCTTTCTCTAAAGGTATAACCTCTTCATATCCCCTCGTTCCTTGTCATAAGTTCGTCAAAACAACACCCTTCTTTCCTCCGTCGCTCGCTGCTCTCCCTTCCTCAATCGGACAACTTCCGCTTTGCCAAATCTATCTCTTATTTCCTTGCTCTGAATGCTGCAGACGCATCATAGAATCAATATCTTCCTTTGCACGGTTAGTCATTTTTGGCGTCTCCTTTATGTATAAAATGACATTCAAATATGTTTTTTGGTGAATAGTTTTAGAGTTGAACTATTACCTGGAGAAGGATTTAAAAGGGCAGATTTAAATAGGTACTCCAAGGATTTATAAAGCAAAGCATGTTAATAGCATATTTTCTAGTGCCCGAACTAGTGAGCATTTCTATTCTTCTTTTATTTGTAAATGTTTGAGAATTATATACATTCATTTTATAGCAATATTGACAGCCTCAGGTTATAGGAATTTAGAGTTGTTTCCACAAAACCTTAATGGAAGTCATGTTCACCATCAATGAGCTGAAAAGGATGGAAAACACAAGATAGCAGCATGAAAATAATTAGAAAACTGAATGAAATGCTTATTTATAAGAATAAATAGATTTTTACAAGCTGAATTTTCTGCACCTGTTTTCCTGATTCTGCTCTTCTCCTCATTAGGAATAAAGAGTTGATATGGTCTTTGCACTGATCTGTACTGTTGTGATACGAATTGCATTTGTATTGTTCCTAAAGCAGTGGTTGATATGGGTTGTTTGGACTTCAATGTTGCATTATTGCTAGATAAATTGCTTCAGAACTCTTACAGGTTGAATTTCAGCTTTATACGGGTTTCAATTTTTATTGGTTGAGTTTGGTTGATATTGGTTGATATGGTTTGGTTTCTGCAACTGAATGAGCTTCGATTTTTATTTGAATCATAGTAGTTCTTTTCTCTGAACTGTAAAGGTTGCATTTCAGCCCAACCTGCAGTCATTGGAAAGTTGTTTGCTAGCAACTGTTTTAAATGTTGGGCAAGCTATTTGAATTGTTAGGCAAACATTTCTTATATATTTACATATTTACATTGCAATTCTTTACATGTATAACACCCAAACTTCAACTTACACACACATATTACATTACCCATGCGTGAAATTCATTTCTTTATACATGTATTTATATATGAGAACATATGTGATGTGATGTTGAAGATTTAAGTGCTTCCCATGTATGCAAATTGTGATTTAGTGTTATAATCCATATTAGTGTGTGATCAGAGTTTTTTGAGTTATATAAATGTAATTCAACTCTTTTGTATTTTCATGTTTTTATATTTGAGAAAATAACAAATTCTGCGTGACAGATTATTCATTCAACAAAAAAAATCTGCAAATAAGTTGTTTTACAAAACGCACAAACCAAACATCTAAACAACTTATCCAGAATAGGGGCATAATGATCCTTTATCCAGAATCAGTTGTTTTTCAAACGCAAAAACAAACAGTCAGCCAGCTTATCCGGATCAGCTGCTCATCAGCAAATTATCAAGATAAGCCGCTTATCAGCAGAAGCTGGATAAGCTGCAGCTGCCCCAAACATACCCTAAGTTAAGTGTCTGATGATAGACTCTCGTATGTGAAATATCACAAATACCTCAGTATTGTCCCCTTTAAAGTAGAGGGAAAGATGTAGCAACATCGTATTGTATCCCCTCATCTATTTTTAGGGGAACCATTTTATGCATAAAACATGATTGATCACTGCGGCTTACTGTTCTGTACAATCATTTTATTTTACTTCTCTCTTCTCTTATTTATGCTCTAATTCTTGGATGTGATTCACAAACAAGTAGTCAACAATATTTATACTTGTAATTTTGTTTGTGTAGGAACTTATGCTTCCTATTGGTGATTGGCCTCTTGATCCTGGTCCATGGGGTGGCGAGACTGGAAAGCCATTTGATGATGGCTTCAACGAGAAGATAACTCAGATATTATTGACAAAAACTGGTGATGTTCTCAGCTCAATAACGACCGAGTATGAGCGCAATGGAGAGTTGATTTGGTCTTTTAGACGTGGAAGTCTGGGGACAAATCAGATAAGCAACTTGGTCAGTTTTATTAATAAATTTAGAGTTTAGCCCACCTTTTAGTTGTTTAATTATGAGACTTTTCTGATCATTCAACTCTTTGTTCTTTAACTGCAGATCAAACTTGATACCCCTGGAGAGTACCTAGTACGAATTTCAGGGTACTGGCGGTGTTTTACAGATGGAGACAATGATAATGTTGCTATAATTACCTCCCTAACGTTCTTTACAAACAAAAACAAATATGGTCCTGTAGGTGCGGAAGGCGGAGCATTTTTCTCCTCGCCCACTGTTGCAGGAAGGATTCGTGGATTTTTTGGTCGAAGTGGGAAATATTTGAATGCCATTGGAGTTCATATGCAGTATCTCCCAACATTTTCCAAAGAGGCCCCCTAATTTTCTTGGCAAAGAAACTTAGTTGATCTCCGACATGTAGTTGATGATATTTGTTTGTGCTGCTAATTTGTGTTTCAGACAAGAAATCTTTCGACTTTTTTTAGGAATCTTTAGCTATAAAGAGCTTTTTGGTTATTCAGGTTAACAAATTAACTCTCTAACTTTTATTTATTTGGTTCATAATCAAGTAATTGCACAATCAAGGCAGTTTTTATCATCATAAGAGTACATTAAACAATGGTTCTTATGGCTTGAAAGGTCCACGTTTCTTATATAAATGTTGTCCTTCAGTATATGCCGTGCTATATATCATCCTAGAAGGTATAAAAAGAATTCAGTAATTGGTTCAACGCAAGTAAAGGTCTTTACTTCAGTTACTCTCATTTATCATAAACCCCAAGCGCACATTGAATAACTATTGGATTTTATCATCCCTTTCACAGAGAAGAACAGTATAAAATAAATCAAATGTAAAATTAAAGTACAGCATATACGTACTAATAAAGATTATAGCTTTCATCTATTTTATGGAAGAAAAGAACATGTTTATCTGAAGAGAACAAGAAATCCGTCATCAACGTATCCTTCCTGGCTCGGACTGGGGCAACAAAGCTGGAATGTAAGGAACTTGGGTCAAAGGAAGCCAATCATTCCCCCACAGAAAATACTCAACTGTGAACTTCTGCGCATGCGCATAACTAATGTTCTTCACCCCCTTCCACTTAACCCTCCTGCTCTTATCCGCCCCTGGCCCCCTGTTCTCCACCTCCGTATAGAAGCACGTCCTCAGTCCAAAATCCCCAAGCCAAGGCAGCCACCCATTAGGATTTACGAGCGTATCTATAAAGGACTGGATTACAAACGTCCTAGAAAACGCCTTCCACGGCCTGCCGAGGTAGGTTGGGTTCTTGGAGTGGAGGAGTGGAGAGCAGGGGGGAAAGACGGGTCGGCGGTGATGGTGCAGTTATGGAGTATGATGGCGGTCGCGGATTGTCGGGACTTGCGGCCTTGTGCGGTGACGATGTTCTGCTGGTTGTCGAGGGGTTTTCGGACGAGGATTTGGCAGTTTTGGAAGATGGCCTTTGCGTCGCCGAAAATAAAGTCAATGGTGCCGGAGATGGTGCATTCGCGGTAGAATTGGCGGAGGGTGTGGACGTAGAGGGTGTCCTGATAGGCGTCCATTCGGCAGCGGTAGAAGACGGAGCGGTCGGCCTGGACGAGAAGGGCGACTGCTTGGTGTTTGGCAGGACCGGCGGTGTTCTGGAAGCCTATGTCCCGTGCCATGAATCCCTCCCCCATTACCACTGCGAGAGGAAGAGTTGCAGAATGTTTTGAGTTGGGTTGTGCTCAATTCTCAAATCAGTTCAGCCAATGTGTTCGATTTGGTTTGAATTACATTAAGCAAGTTACATTACTTTTGGTGTTATAAATTTATGCATGAAAATCTATTTTTCCTTTTAAAAATATAATGATGATGAAATTTTTGATGTGATAGATTTAAGTCGTATGATATGATATTAATGATTTGAGTGGTATGAATGTAAATAATAATGTTTTAATGTTAGATAATTAAATATTTGGGACATAAGTTCTAATAGGTTAAATTTAAGTTTTATAAAAAAATAATTAAATTTATAGTTAAATATTGAATTTTTATATTTCATGTTATATCATTTAATTTAAGTTTATTTGTGTAGAAGGTTTTCATTGATACCACTTAATTCTTATGTATTTGCATATCTGACATATTAACTTCAATTTTTACCTCTGCAAGAAAAGACGATTTTTAATTTTGAAAAGTTAAAATAATAATCTTTTGAGAGAATATTAAATATTTTGGTGATATAATTTTAAAAGGCAAAGGTTATGCATTAGACATATATGTAAATACATGGGAATTGAGTGGCATGTATGCAAATCCCTCTTTTACATGTAATATTATAAGAAATTGTTTATTGTTAGATTTTTTTTGTAAATTATAATTAGAATTTGATTTATTATTATTATTTAGTGAATCATAATATCCTGTTAAGTATGTATAAGAATAAATATATTTTATACTCAACATATGGTATCTGTATGATACGTATGGATGCATCATAGATGATGCTGAGAAGTTTATATAAAAACTCCTTTCTAGTAATTTCTTGCCCTTCCCTGCAGTTAAATCTGGTGTGCTGGTGTAAATTAGTTGAGTCGAGTTCGAGTCATGCCAACCTCGACCTCGGCCCGTCTGTCAAACTGTGAGCTCAACTTGAGGGCTAGTTAGAATTGTGACCCACAAGCTAGAATTAAAAATTCAATTTTTACGGAAGTTCACCCGGAAAGGTATTTGGTGGCCGGGGGAGGAGGAGGATGATGCACCGCGTCTTCTTTGAAAATGCATCGAAATGACTAGTTATATTCTAAATGAGCCGATTCGACATAAGCTCAGCTCCAGTTTGAGCTCAAACTTAGCCCGATAACTCTGCTAGTGAGCTTGATAAGCTTGGATTGTGTTCGGGCTCAAATTTAAGCTTGAGCTCAAATTTGTGGCTCGATAAACTCGACCCACGAACCAACTAACACCCTTATATATGGTCCATTAGCTGGTTCTATACTACTATAAGGTTAATGTCGCCTGTATACATACCGAAGCTGGCTGTCTTGAAAGTCCCGACACCATCAATGAAGTTGAGGCTTCCCGTAACCACAGTCTGCGTTGCGCCGTCGCCCACCACGACTATGTTAGTCCGATTCCTATACACTGTCACCTTCTCCTTATACACTCCATTCTTCACATATATCACGAATGGCTTCTGGCTCTTAATTGGCGCCACGCCCAGCGCTGAATTAATGCTCGAGAAATCACCACTGCCATCCAGCGCCACCACCACGTCAGGCTTAATCCCAGACGGTGGAATCGACAGCAACCTCCTCCGATCAGCACTAACCCAACCCGGGAACTCATTTTCCTTCACCTCTTCCTCCGATAGCAGCCGCCGGCTGAACACGTCAGGCAGTCTCAAATCATCCACGAACTCCGCGAGCTGGCCAACGATCGCTAGCGCGTTGTCGGTGAGCGCCATGGAGTAATTGAGGGCCTTGCGCATGCCGGCTGCGGTGTCGCCGGTCGTGTTCTCGAAGCCGTCCAGGCATGTCTCTTGGTAGGTGGCGGCAGAGTCGAGCCAGAGCTTGAGCTCGTCGACGGCTTTGGCGGGGTTGGACGTGTTGAAGCTGTCGAATTTGTTGAAGGTGGTCTTGATGTCCTCGATGGCGTATTCCATTAGCTCGCGGCAGGTTTTGAGGGCGTCCTTCGTGCGGGGATCGCGCGCTGCTGTAGAGAGGAGTTTGGATTGCTGGAAGGCTTGGCGGAGATGGTCTGTGGCTACCTGAGACAAGAGGTGTTTACTCTTAAAAAGAGAATGATGATAATATTGTTACATTGTGTTAGAGGAGTGATTTGTAAATAAAAATATTGTTACAGTACGCAATTTCATAATGTCCTGTTAATTTATTGGATGTAATAAATTCTTGAATCTGTGATCCTAAAAAAAATTTGTAATGATGATCGCGGCAGAGATGCCGGCCTTACCTTGAAGGAGAGCTTGATGAGCTGCCTGAGATCAGTGCTATCATTGGCAACTTTCGAAAGAGCCGACTCGCAGATCTCACGGTAATCGGTGGGCTCGCATATGGCTTGGACTGATCGCGATGTGCTCTGAAGGGTGTCGCCATTCCGACCTCCCGGAGCCGCGGATTTGGATGCGAAGCCATTGTGAGTGACGACGACGACGACAGTGGCAACAACGGCGATGAGTAGGATGACAGAGCCGCCAATAATAGTTCCTTTCTTGCCGACGGCCATTCCTAAAAAAAGTGGTTCTACGTGTTCGAAATGGAGAGGAGCTAGCTTCCCCTACCAGGCAATGGAAGATTGCATGGAAGGTGGGAGGATGGGATTGAGACGGGGAGTTGAAACTCAGAGGGGTGGCGGGAATGGCGGTTTTATAGAAAAGAAGGGAAACGGTAAAATGAGGGGTTGTTGGAAATGAGAGGCGAAGGCTACGGGGATTAAATAGCAGGTTGTTGTGCTGTGAGGGAAGGGGGAAGCTGTTGGGTATATTGGCTGGTTGCTGTACGGAAGTTTTCAGCGGCTGGGAGGAGGCGGGCGTGGATTTGGTTGATGGATGAGGGATGAGGTTGGGACAGATGATCAGATGTTTTACTGGAATGGTGCCATTGTTTTATTGAGATGGGAATCACTTGATAGGCTTTGTTGGATTTTTTTCTTTTTCTTTTTGTTTTTTCTGTTTTGACAATTTTGCATGCATGATATATAATAATTATGTATTGATATATCTAATATCTAAAATCTCATAAATAATATATATATATATATATATCATGATGCTACCTAAAAGTGACATGCCAGCATTAAATTAATGCGACTTGCTACTAATAAATTCCTCTTTGATAAGTTGTCTAATCAGCGGAATGAAGTATCATAATGATATGTTATATTAAGACTGGCCATATACATCTAGCCTTATTTATTTAAGGTCATGTTTGCAATATGTCAAAGTCATTAACATCTCTAGACTTATTGTCATATGCTTGGTATCAACTCGTCAAAGATCTGCATTTCTACACCTTACACTAGCCAACTAGCTTGTGATTGACAGCCGAAAATTAGCATATTAGCCTATCATCGACTCCCTATTTGATAACCAGCATATCAAATAAAGGTATAGCAGCAAAAGGAGAAATTCAATATAATTCTATATTAATGTCAATGATTCATGTCATGTAATATTTAAATTATCAACTTAATATCAATAAATTAAAAATAGATTTGTGATCTAAACTGACGGATAACAATAAGACAATGAAATTGAGAGATAAAAATGCTCTATATATACACACCGAGTGAGAGAGAGAAAATAAAGTTTCAAATTGATCCGAAGAGCTTATTAAATTGGAACTAATTAAGTCTTCGAGAGGAACTATTTTAACCCCAATTTAAAGGGTGTTTTAACCAATTTGGCACTTCTATAAACCCTGAAACTAAAATGATACATATTAATAGTTTGGTACTATTTTGACACTTTACACACACATACACGCAAGAAGCCAAAAAATTACAAGGTATGAATAGCTTATGACCTCCTCATCCATGGAGGAAGCGTCAGGAACAAGAAAAACGAACTAGCTAGAAGCCATACCACAAGTGAGATGGATTCATAATAACAAGTATTTGGGTAGAAGAATGGCCAAGTAGAGCCAAATACCAAGTGCAAATATCTAGGACGGATGATCAAAGGCCGAGTACAACAACCCAAAAGGGACCAACTCTTTTTTCATATGTTAACTTTCAAGAGATCTGGACTTTTGTGGGGATGTTGTTTCGATTTTTTTTCTTTTTTTTTTCTTTTTTGAAAAAGTTGTCAGCTTATCTATCATTGTATAATTTTCTTTTCTAAATAAGTCTCTTTTTCTGGATCATAAAAATGATCTTAAGAAGAGAGGAACAGTAAAAGCAGAGGCATACAATTAAAAAAAAACAAATAAAGAGAAAGAAAATATGAAGAGCTTACATGTGATAAATCTCGCAATGATAAGTTAAGTATGTCTCCCCAAACAAGATCAGGCAAAGGCATCTTGGACCAATATCCTCAAAAGAAAACCCATGTCTACCCATAACCAGATATTCAGGCGTGTTTGTCTGTTTTGTGATTCAGAGTGCTCCAAAAGGGACATTTGTCACTTGGTTAATTACATTTTAGGGTTTCTCAAGAATAGTCTTGATCCAAAATATTTTTGCTTGCATTAGTAGTGTTGACTAGCACGGGGCTATTAAAGGACAATAATTTCACATGGAAATACTCTGATGCTTTCAAAGCTTCCGCTGAGCTACGAGGCAGAACATGAGTCACCGCAATCCCCACATGGGCAAGGAACTCATCGACATATTAAGCCTGCAAAATAACTGAATCATCCCGACATAGAATCCTAATATTTCAAAGAACATCTAGGTCATAAGGGCAGAGAACAAATAGTTGTATCCCAAACAAGCGTCAACTCACAGTAATCAGGTTGTCAAAATGTTACCAACGAAGGCAAAAAAAGAGACAGGGCTCAACAGAGGTAGTGAAAGGAAGAGAGGAGCAATCTCTAGAAGGTAGAGGTAGTCGAGTCAGGGTACCACAGACCCGTCATTCCAAGCCACTAGGACCCTAAGTCTACCTAGTCATGAAATTAGTCAACCCAACTTGTCCAGAGATCCCTAGTCCCTAATCTGCTAATTGCATCATCCGTGGGAACATCGGTAGCCAAAAAGTCAAAAGAACGAAAATATATCCTATGACTATCAGGTGGAGCTTCAAGATGTGAGAAGTATACCCACCGAAGTGACAAGAATGTCGTTGGAAAGAGAAGAAATGGGAGGTTCAGCTATAAAGTTGGAAATGCTCCCAACAAAAGGCCTTACACCTCATATGGGTCAGGGCGTCTTCTAACGACCTAAGCGCACTAAACAAACACATAAGTAGAAATTTTTATTAGGTCAGTCAGATTGAAGAAGCCTGGGGACTTCTCCTCAGGACATACATATGATGTAGTTATCTATTCAAGTCTTAAGCAAGGAGGCTCTATTAGTATAACTTGAGATATGTCCATGGTGCAACCCGTTTTAAAATTGACCCAAAGACCATGTAGAAAAGTAAAAGACATATTTTTAAAATCTTGAATTCTTAAATCCTAAATTTTAATTAGTCTTGAAATTTTTATCATGAATTTTTAGTTAGAAAATTTATAACTTTAAGGCCCTTATAAGAGTCTAAATTGTAATTTTTGCAACAACCAAAACAAACCGGAAAGAAATAATGAAAATAATTCAAGCATACAGACATGCAAAGAAAAACGTGAAAAACAAGCCAAATAGAGCAAAATACCGGTGTTGTTGGATTGACAACATATATTAGAAAAGAAAATGATCGTCAAGCATAAGTACACATATAGTCCTAACTCTATACATACATGAGATTTATATTGGGACATGAGTGTGCTGCTCCTGGTCCCCGTCATGTGGTTCGTTGCGTTTGGCACCTCAGAACTCATGCTTGTACCATATATCTGATACAGGACTCTCCCAAGAACTCTAAAAAATACACTATAAAAGATAAAAAATGACTCGACCTGCACGAAGACAATGTGATTAAGAAGGCCAAACAATCTTGCAACATGTCTGAGTCATGCCTGGTGAGGGAACTAAATAGCGTCTGCAAGCAAATTTTACCATGGAAATCATCACATGCTTCCTTATTTATTATACTGGTCTATGTGCATATACATGGCATTACCTTCTACAGAAAACTATCCTAATATTCTACCATGCATACCAAAACAACAGAGATACAAGGACACTAAAAAAAGCACAAAATTTACATATGGATAGAATGAACAAGCCAACAAAGAACAATAGCCAGAGGCATCAAAAATATTTCCTAGTACCCTAGTCCTAGCTTAACACACCATCTAACGAGAAGTGTTTTAACCAGCATCTAAGTGCACAGGGTAAAGTTTATGGGTACGTGTGATTTTGACAGAGTCTCTGCACTGGGCTCATCCTAAAGATTTAAGGGCTCTAAAGGGTGTCACCCAAGATAGATTTTGAAAAGAGTTGGATCTACATATGACCTAGTTTGCAACGCGTGCATTTTCTGTCCGGACACCTGACGTACCTCTACGTGTGATGCAGGTTATTCCTGAGTTATTTTCAGGTTATTTCTGGGTTATTTTCAATAATCCCGAAATAACCCAAAAATAAAGACCGAGGGTTATTGTTGACCTCACTTTTGGTTGAGGTCTAGAAAACTTCTTTAGTAGCCTAGGTCTAGCCATAGGACTTTCCTATTGACCAGTCTTAGAAAATTAGAAAAGGTACCCCCACCATTAGAAATTCAAAACTCTTCTTTTTACTCAACTTGAAATTCCACATATTGATTTTAACCTCTAGCATTTAGTAGGTAAGATCATTATAAGAGAATTCAAGAAGAATCCCTATAGGATTACTTGGCTTTAAGATTGACTCTGGGTGTTGACTTGGAACTAGGATACACCATATCTTCACAATATATTAATCCATGGTTCATTTAGAATGGATATCTATTCAATTCTATGTGAAATGTCTAACTTGGTCTTTCGCCCCGAGGCACCTCCAAATTACCTAACTGCCCTTGGGACCCAAATTTGGCGAAAATTCCCAAATTTTGCCAAAATACCCAAAATTGATCAAAACCCATTTCAAACACCTTGAATACATCCAAATTTGTCAAAATTTCCAAAAAATGACCAAATTACCAAGATACCCCTCCATGACCCAAAAATCCAAAAATTCC